TCACCACTCTTCTTCTTTATGTTTCTCTTTGATTTGGATTTCCTTTGACATGTCCTCTTTAATCTATAGATTTATATTGTCATCATTGTTGAAAAATTAAAAAAATTATCATCTTAATAATTTTATTTATTTTTTAACTGTTAGTGATCAAAACGAAACAAAATAACATAATTTTAAGTATTATTTTGAAAAAAAAAATAGTTAGATAATCAAAATGAAACTATGATAATAGTTAGGTGATTGAATACATAGTTTAATCAATCTTTTATTGGCGTCATCATTCTCTTATTATTAGATACCGATAGTTTAGTTTTCATGTGGTTATCAGGTCCGAGCTGTATGTTTGTATGATGTGTGTATCGTCAATTGACTAAAAAAATCTGATCAAATACTAACATGTGATTATTAAGTATGAATTATGAAGAGTTGCAAGATGGGTTACCTAAAAGAACCGTATCACAGCCTCCGCATTTATAAACAGGGAAATCAGGGAGTTCCCGAAGAACCAACCGGCATTTAGGACATCTAACTAATCGAAGTCTGGGAATTGTTCCACCCGACAAATTTGCTCTCAGATGTTGTCTACCATTCTCTTCTGCAAACAAAAACCTCTGAGAGTGGGGGTTTGGACCGGAGTTTCGTGATGTTTAAGGCATTGTTGTTGTTTTCATTTCAGGCAATACCCTGACTTCAAAACCCAAAGCATAGCTGCTCATCATCTTGTGCTGCTTTGTCTGAATGAAATGGGATAAAGGAGAGGAGTTAAAGTTGGCGCCGATGAAAATTGAAATTAAAGAGAGGGAGGTGTCGGTGTTTTAGGTGATATTGAAAGATACGGTTGCCCGTACCATTAGCTGCCACGTCAAATAAATAACCTCCTTTAAGGCAACTAGCTAGGCCCCTACCCATGCCTAAATGCTGCTAAAAGAACACGATAAAGCTATTGATTGTTCATCTTATCATTATGGGCTCTGTTTTGTAGTTTTTTTTTATCTGATATTTTTTATTAATATTTTTTATTATGTAAAATAAAGATATGGACACAAATACTATTGGGTTGAAATAAAAGAAAAGAAATAAATTAGGTAATATATATATATATATATTATCTAAATATTTGAAAAAAATTATATTTGAACACTTAAAATCTCTCACATTATTTAGATACTTAAATTTTTATATGTTCAAATATAATCTTTTTAAACATATATTTATTATTGAGTGATTTGATGCACAATGCGGGCATTGCTCGATTTGGCTCATATTTGTGCGATTATATATCTTTGACATGCACAAAGCAAAAATGGATTAGTCAGTAAAATACAATTCCATAAACAAAGTCGGTACCATAATGTGAATACTGAATAACAAACCAAGTGTTCTGAACCTCAATAACATCTTGTCAACTTGATACCCAACACAACACAACACAACAAACTGTAATAAACTTTAACAAAGTGTTCCACGTAAGCTTTTGGTGTAATACCTCAAATATCAGGTCAGTGACTTTATTGAAAAGATTTAAAATTTGAAGACTCGATTGTATAAATGATAAAAAGATAGGAAATGATTGGAATAGTGTTTATGACCAATTTGTATAATGAATGAATATAAAGGGTAATTAGGTTAAGGAGAAATGAATTTAAAATTCATTCCTTATTAGGGATTTAGGAAGAAAAAGGGGAAAGTTAAACCATTAGAGTTATATCTTTTCTTCTTCCCCGTGCAAGGACCATCCTCCATAACCAAATGTAAGATTTAATTTAACCATCTCTTCCTCTTATTTGTGGGTTGTTGTTGGAACATTAAGTATTATGGAAGCTTAAGGAAGGGTTAAGTAAGATTAAAACTAGAAGATGGTTGAGAAAGAAGTTAAATGAAGGGAAGCTAGTTGGGATAAGTAAAGAAGAGTTTAATGTTATTGTTGAGTGTAAATATAAGGAAATTTGACCAAATTTGGGTAAGAATCGGGCTGAAAATGGAAAAGCTTGGTAAGGGTATCAGTACTGATAGAACAGTATCGATACTATATACTTATTTTGGATGAAATCAACTGAACAATATCGATACTGATTGCTTCAGTATCGATACTGAGAGGGGTATCGATACTATGGAGAATGTATCGATACCATTGAGTCATAATGCATAAATGGTATCGATACTATAATGGAGTATCGATACCATAGTATAGTAGTATCGATACTATGGTAGGGGTACCGATAGTAGTGAGCCTAGAATTGTAAGATAAGCTGAAAGTGTTATGGAAATCTAAATAATAGTACCTTTGATTATTATTAAAGTATAAATGTAAGGAAATATACTAACCTTTAGTATGGTATATGGCTTTAATGGATGCCTGTGTAGATCGTAATCAAGCTCTCGGGTCAAGTAAAACGAAAGGCAAAGATAAAGTAGCTGAGTAGTTAGACTTGTGTTTTGGATATAATAACAAGGCAAGCCAGGTGAGTGCATTTATTATATACATTAAGAATCATAAATGTATGTTGTTATAAGTGTATGTTGCAATTGTATATCAATATTATGTGTACTATAGGAACTCTGTGTGCAACCCACGTAATTCATCATGAGTTGATAAACAACCGTACAGGCACTATGTGTGCAACCCACGGAATTCATCATGAGTTGATGAAAAACCGTACATGCACTATGTGTACAACCCACGAAATTCATCATGAGTTGATGAACAACCGTACAGGCACTATGTGTGCAACCCACAAAATTCATCATGAGTTGATGAACAATCATACAGGCACTATGTGTGCGACCCATGGAATTCATCACGAGTTGATGAAAAACCGTACATGCACTATGTGTGAAACCCACGGAATTCATCATGAGTTCATGAACAACCGTACATGCACTATGTGTGCAACCCAAGAAATTCATCAAGAGTTGATGAACAACCGTACAGACACTATGTGTGCAACCCACGGAATTCATCATGAGTTGATGAACAACCGTACAGGCACTATGTGTGCAACCCACAGAATTCATCATATGTTGATGAATAACCGTATAGGCACTATGTGTGCAACTTACGGAATTCATCATATGTTGATGAACAACCGTACATGCATTATGTGTACAACTCACGAAATTTATCATAGGTTGGTGAACGACCGTATAGGCACTACGTGTGCATCTAAATAAAATTATCATGACTAGAAAGTTGGTATATTACAGTGTTAGCACTACAGGTGCAAAATTATAGGGTTTATAATAAATTAAAATAGTTAATTGATATTATGAGTAATTATTAGAGTAGAAATTGTTCTAAAATAAAAGACTAAATGCCTAACTGTGCATTTGGCAGAAATGTGCTAATGCAAGTTAGAAAAAAGGTTAAATGCCTTTAGGATAAAAGACTAATGCCTAACAGTGTATTTTGGTAGAAAGGTCTACTAATACAAGTTAGATGAAGAACAGTGCATAATTGGCATGAAATGATGTCATAAATGAAAATGTATAACAGTGCATAATATGCATGAAAGGATGCCACAAATGAGAATACATAGCGGTATATTAATGGTATATAAGGTGTCACTCATGATAATTATAAAAGATAAAGGACCAATTGACACTTTGGTGCAATACATGTACAATACTTTCTCATTTAATGTACATAGGGCAAATAAAGAATAATTGGGAAAATATATAGAAGGATATATATGTTGGAATTAATAAGAATGATTTCGATGATTGTATGAAAGAAAAATCTAGTTTAACTGAGAATGATTTATCTGATTCTTATGGAGTATGCGATTTAGTTCGTCATTAAATGGTCATGAGATACTTATGTATAAATTGCATATTATTTACAATTTTATGTCTCACTAAGTATATACTTAACATGTGTTTATTTCACGCGTAGGTAACAGCAAAGACTAGTCGGGTACTAGGAGTAGGAGCAGCTATCATCAGTCTAAGGTTGACTCTCATCAGTAACAGTAGGACAATCATGTTAATTTAAAAAATTACTAACATGTAATCGAAATTAAGAAAAGTTGCTCTAGAATGTATTTTAAAGTGATAACTTTGGTAATGAGTTTTAAAGATTGTTTTCTTGTTGTATAAAAATGTTTTTGGTTATAAATTTCAATATAAAATTTTTGAGTTTTCAAATGGTGAAATATTTTAAAAGTGATGTGACATCTGTATCTCATGTACAAAAAGGTATAAGGGAGATGGGTGTTACATTTGGATAGCACTTCAAAGTTTTCCAGATATTCCAAATATCTAAGCTGATGAAAACTCGTCTGGGTTGACGATTAGCCAGGGTCGGCCTTGGGCCAGGGCAGGAGGGGCACCCGCCCAAGGCCCATAATATTTTCCATACTATTCTGCAAAGAATTAAATTGTTTAGGACTCATTTCTTTTATTTCACCCGGACCAAAAATATCCAGAGTCAGCCCTGCGATTAGCCAAAGGTCCATGACATCCAAGAAGCTGCATGTTAAATCACAACTTCCACTTTAGAAACCCAATAATCATATCTACTATGCAAATAGCATTTCAGCGTTCAGTAAACACAAATAGTACCAAAAGAGAAAATATTCAGCTTCATCAAGGGAAGGGAGAGCTACGAGTAGCTATATAATGTATTAAACAAACAAATCACAGAAAAAATCATTTGTAAAATCAATGTTTGAGAGAGAGAACATTACAACATATCCATAGTCTTATACTACCTTTGCATTCACACCCCTGGCACAATCCTCTTCTCAGACTTCCACCTCAGATAATCTGCACGTGGTTGTACTTAGTGAATCCCCTGACAAACACAATTACAGCAAAATGATCTTAAACCAGATTTCCGTAACATGAGTGAGATGATGTTGCAAATATATTCAAAATATTAAAAAGAAAAACATAGAGTATCAGATCTGTTTCCTGATACAAAATTATGTTCTAATAAGGTTGTAAAATGTAGTTCAAAGAAAAGAGATAAATGACATCTATCTTGAATACACTCGAGAGTTTCAATTCTGTGTAAGAAACAAAAATGCATACCACTTGCTGCTAACAATAATCTTTTGACGACCGGGAAACTTGAACTTTGCACGGAGGAGGGCCTCCTGTGCATGGTGGCTGTTGCTGTCCTTGCAACGAACCGACAGCAGGACCTGACCAATGTTGACTCTTGCACGTCTTCCTTGAGGTTTCCCGAAAGCACCCCTCATTCCAGTCTGAAGCCTATCAGCCCCAGCACATGAAAGCATCTTGTTGATCCGCAGAACATGGAAGTGCTGAACCCTCACCCTCAAGTGGAAAGCATCAATCCCAGCAAATTTGGCCATGTACTTGTTGCAGGCAATTCGAGCAGCCTCCAATGCCACACTCGAGACATTCTCTTTCTCCCAACTAACAAGATGGACACAGAAAGGGAACTCATCAACACCTTTCTTCTTCATCCCAACCGACTTCAAAAAATGGTCCGCGACCGCGATTTCGGCCGCGATATAGCGATTTCGCCGTCATCCGAGTTACCCGTGACGGCCGCAATAGCGTTCGCGACGACCGCAATAATACTCGCGACGGCCGTAATCACGGTAAATCCGAAATAACCGAAAACGCGACCGAGACTACGATTTGAAACTCTGATCCCAACATCATAAATTCTGATCTTAGGATCCGGGACACCACGGCAGTATCGAGATTTTGGATATGGCTTGTTCTTGATCTGGCGATAACACCTTGCGGGTCCTACATGGAAGAAGTTCACAGAATACTACAATCTTCTCACGTAATGCCTTGTAGGAACATCTGTCCGCAAAATAAGTTTCTACGAACCTTAACATTAGTTAGGGTTTGCACCCTTGAAAAAAGGGGTATTCCCGAGGTTGTTTGAAAGACATTTGAAAAGGGGTTCTGCAAATGTAAATAGAAAGTGCATTTTCTGGGTATTTAACATAAAACTAAGGGTGCGTTTGGTTCACGGAATGTAAGATTACCAGTGGGAATAAAAGATTACCAGGGAATAGGATTACTGGGAATGTTGTATTTTGTGTTTGGTTGGTTTAGCAGGAATGTAAAATTACCGTGTTTGGTCAAAGGAATAAAAGATTATTGTAATGTATATTTGACCAAATTATCTTTATTATATATTTGTATAATATTACAAATTGTAAAATATTTATTTCTTTAAAAAATTAAATCATAATATTTATAATTTTTTTACAAAATTAAAAATATAAAAAATGTTTAATGAAAGGGTAAAAAAAATTTAACCCTAAACTTTATAAAATTTTAATTATAGATTTTTTTGTAAATCTAAAATAATTTAAGGATAAATATTATATTTGTATAATATTACAAATTGTAAAATATTTATATATTTTCTTTAAAAAATTAAATTCATAATTTATATAATTTTTTTACAAAATTAAAAATATAAAAATGTTTAATGAAAGGGTAAAAAAAATTTAACCCCTAAACTTCATATAAAATTTTAATTATAGATTTTTTTTGTAAATCTAAAATAATTTAAGGATAAATTTGTAATTTAACCTTCGTAGAATTTTTATTATTCAATGACAGAAGAATGATATTTTTGAAAAAAAATAAAAATTTAAGGGCATTTTAGTCCAAAACGCCGGTAATGTTACAATACCTAAGGGATGGGAGATAATGACATTCCCGGTAATATACACCAAAAAATCTACTATTGGTAATAAAACATTATCGGGAATGAGATTCCCGGCCAACCAAACATGGGAATGTGGGATTCCCATCCACATTCCTTGAACCAAACACCCCCTTAGGGGTCCTGCTAATTTAAGGACTCAATGAACATGAAAAACAAAAGGGTAAACTATACCAGTAACCACTTATTTATTGTCCCTTTTATTTTGACCATCATTTTTGAAATTTTGTCAATCAGATCACTTAATTATTTAAATGCATTCAATTAAGCCATTTGTCTTTAATATTTAACGGAAAAGCTGATGTGGCAATTAAAATATTTGATATTATTACACATTTGGTCTATGCTACTTATATATTCTATCAATTTGATCGTAATTTTAATAAATTAAAATAAACTTAACATCCAAATCAAATGGTGCTATGTGAAATAAACACTCTTGTTTCAATAATATATCAAATCATATGCTCCTTTCTACAGTATTAAATTCAACATGCAACACTGTAGATGTGAATTTCTTTTTTACTCAAGTCCTTCTCAAAGGTTAGATTTACCATTCAACTGGTATTCATTACTACTTTCAAGTTCGAAATATGCAGTGTAAACAAAAGTTACATTTTGAAGATAACTGACATAAGATGAGAAGAAATTGCAGCAAAACTGGGGAGAAAAAAAATAAAGCAAAGGTAGACATTTTCAAGGAAGGACAATAAACGGCTTACTTACCAATATGTTCCAGCTCTCTGGGATGTAAATTCCATACCCTGGGATCCAACATCATCCTCCACGATTTTCCTAAGACCAAAATCAGTCACTTTTGTTATACCGAACTCATCAAAGAGAACATTGTCCGGCTTCAAATAATAATGGATAATCTTCTGTGCTCTTTTGTTCAAGTATACAAGGCCTTAAAATATTTGAACTACGATAATCCTAGCTTCTTTCTCGGGCAATACTGGCTTTGCCTTCAAAACAGCATCAAGGTCGTTGCCTGGAATCAATAAAAGAAATCAGAAGACGAAATGAAATGAAATTGAATATGCATGGTTAATCTATCAAACCATTATCCAGACATAAAATAAATTGGTATCATTTGATTTGAGGGTTAAGTTTATTTTAATTTATTAAAATTAGGACAAAATTAATAAAATATTTAAGTAATAGTGACCAAATGTGTAATTGTACTAAATATTTTAACTGTCACAACAACTTCTCTATTAAATATTAACGACAAGTGGCTTAAATGAATGCATTTAAATAGACGAGTGACCTTATTGACAAAATTTCAAAAATGGTGGTCAAAATAAAAAGGGGCAATAGTTAGGTGGTCACTGGTATAGTTTACCCTTTTTATTTTAAATGATTTGCTTTAGTTTTTTAACTAATTTATAATTATACGTTGAGTCCTTTAGAATTTTAAATTTTATGAGAATATTCTTATATTAGAGATTTTGAATTCAAGTAGTTGTGTATTGATCACGTGTAAATGTGTGTGCTATGGAATGTAAATATGTGCAAGTATACACAATCGATACAAGTAATATAGTAGTGAGTGAGTATCGTCTCCACGAGGATTATGGGAATTCTTTAAAGAAAGCTATAACTAGGAAAAGGTGTCACTAACTAATCCTAAGTGTCTAAGTGTAATGATATAAACAAAGGGAAAATGATGTGATGATGATATGAACAAATGAAAAAATATGTTATGGCAAGAATTTATTTTTAAAGTGAATTGAGCATGAATTTTTTGTGTCGTGGCAAGAAATTTATGCAAGAGTAAATAATAGGAAATTGCTAAGGCAAGAAATATATGATTTCTTAATATAGATTGAAAAACTCACACAATCAAGCTTCTAACGGAGCACTTGGGTTGGATTTGCTACGACAAAAAATTATTCTATGTCTAGGATGATCTAAGTAAACTATGCCTATGCTGCCCGACATGATTTACTAAAAGTGATCTTAGGCTATCTCTAGTAAGGAACCTGATAAAACTATTACCACGGAAATACCTCTCAGCGTAAATTGTGATCCTAGCCTATCGATTAAGTATTATCCCTTTTAGTTGTTTGAAACCCTTTCCTTATCTCTAAGGCGGATTAAAACCTCAACATCCCAGATTAGTTCCCTTATTCACGTAGATCTAATCTAAATATCTCGATATTAGGTATCTACTCTTAGAAAAATGACTATATCTCAATAGCTCTTATAAAGACTAAGAATTTTATGTCATGGCAATCTCTCAAAAGCTCTTACAATGCTACGACATAAAGTTAAAACAATTAACAAAGCAACATGAAACATAAACATACTTAATCATCCATTAAACACAAAATAAAAACATCATCTCAACATATCCAACACCAAATAGATCAGTTCATGGTGTGGCTAAAATCATTCCAAATCGTCATTAAGTACAAGCCCATTAAAAATATAAGAAATGAAAAACAAGGCGAAGAAAAACTCCTAACAAAGGGCTATTGTCGTGATATTCAGACCACCACCATGGACCGCTCCAGCGGACTAACCCCTCTTGAGGGCCTAGTTGCTACTCCGGTGAAGCCCGACTATTGAGGACACCAAGAAAGGAAAAGAGAAGAACGATGGAGAAGAAGGTGTTGCAGTCGCCTTTCTAAAGCTTTTAGGGTAGGTAAAAGTGTCTCTTTAAAGTCGTGGGCATCATTTCCTATTTATAGTGAGGAATTTCTAGGGTTTTGTGCCCTTTAAATTCCCTCAAATGTCCTTCAATTCATGCCCAAAATGTGATATCATGGCAGCTGACAGTGGTCCTAAATTATCAGTAGAGGCAGGTGGTTCACATGAGGTGCATTGGACAACTGGTTGCATGACGTCAGGTACTTTGTCTTGTATTGCATCCAGACTTGAAAGAAAAACTTGTTACGATGAAAAATTCTTCACGGTCATCATCATCAGTTCCTTTGGCCCTCACTTTAAAATTTTCATGGAAAATAATTCTTTCCTCGATCATTTCCCATCACCTGTATAATCACAACCAACACACAATCCTTTTCATCAACTTCATTAGTTATATCAATAGAAACTAGTCGCAACAAGACTTTCCACCACATGCAATGAAATGCCTTAAATGCAACTAAAATGCTTATGAGAATAGCTTTTAGAGAATCAATAACTTAAGTAAAAAGACCCAAAATATAATCTTTTTATGGAGTTATCACGTATATAAGTATCATCTCATACTGTTCAAAATAAAAGATAAATTAATTATTTTTGGATAAATTGTACAAAATAATTTGAAGGATCTTACTTTTTAAATAGTCTATGATGCTAAGGTAGTATCAAGTTTGAAGGACCTTGAGACTTGAATTTAGGGTTGAGCAATGAAATCAAGAAAAATAAAAAAAAAATCAATTCGAGTAAGATTATTTGATTCAATTCAATTTGGATTTTTTAATTTGTAATACAGTTTCGATTCTGTTTAAAAAAATAAATATATAATTCAGTTCTGTTTTAATTTTTTCATATAGTAACCGTTTGAACCGAATTAAATCGAATTAAAAAAGATAATAAGTATAAAAAACACATTCATTTTGAATTTATTATAAGACAAATTTAAATAAATAAAATATTAAAACTAAAAATATTTTTTGTAAATTTAAATTTATATATTTGTAGACACTCGTTTTGTCCGAAATTTTTTTATCATTTTTATTTTTTATTATTATAATTATTAAATATTAATATAATTTTATTATTTTGTAGAACACTACAAAGACCCAACATGGGTCCAAACCCCAAAC